CTGAGGTAAAGATGGGCAGAGGCTCACCACCATGAAACACTTGATGGCTGACACTTCCAGAATCATGTTCCTGAAAGCTCCATGGTCACAGCTCACAGCTTCATCTCTGGGCTCAAAGGATACAGGTCAGTGTTGGATGGCCGTGCTCTTCAGAACCTGCATTCAAAACGGCTCTGACTATTTTCTGGACATCACTGCACGGGCTCAAACTCTTCTACACATCATTGTCTGTGAATACAGTCCGCTGTGCCATCACGCACAAACGCTGATTAAAGCTCTATCGTGCAAAGAAGAAGTCAGATGTGACCACCTTCCAGAACTTCTTACGTCTTCTCTGGACCAAAGCTCATTTAACATGGACTGAGGCAAAGTGGAGAACTGCTCTATGGTCAGGGCGGCACGGTGGCACAGTGTAAATCTGCCGCCTCTGAGCGAGATGGCTGCCAGATTGAATCCTGGCTGGGGGGGCCATTCTGGATGATGGACTTAAGACCTGTCCAGGTGTCCCTGTGATGGACTGGAGACCTGTCCAGGTGTCCCTGTGATGGACTGGAGACCTGTCCTCTCATAGCTGGCTATGGGCACCAGTGACCCCCACGACCTGAAGCGGTAAAAATATAATGGATGTCCTGGTGCTCAATAATCCAGGTAGAAAGATCCAGAGGACCAGACTCGACTGTTTTACGTGGACACATGGATGCTCTGTGGTCAGACAAGTCAAGAATTTTAATTGTTTTTAAAAACTACCACATTTTCCGTAATAAAGAGGGGACTCACCCAGCCTTGTATTAGAGCACAGTTCAAAAGGCTGCCTCTCTGATGGTGTGGGGGTGCATTAGTACCTATAGCATCAGCAGCTTGCAGGTCTGAAAAGACATGAGTGAAGCAAAGACAGAGGTAGAAGCTCCTGTCCAGGTGTCTTTGCATGTTTCACTCAGAGTGCTAAACTTCACGCTGCATCCACTGCAGCAGGTTCTGGACTAGAAGAGTCCAGGTGCTGGACTGGACCTCGTAGCAGGTGAAACGCTTTGGTGCATCATAAAGCAACAAGTCCAGTGAAGAAGACCCAGGACTGTTGAACAGACTCGTGATCAAACGGGACGTTTCCTTGAGAAGCTTCAGTTCCTCGCCAGACCAACGGTCGTTAGAAGAAGCTGCGGTGGAGGTCCTGGACCAACTCTTTACATGTTGCTGCCATCAAATTCTAACTTTACGTTTTACTCAGAAATGGAATATAATCAAATCTGGGCTCGTGACAAATCGTTTGTCTTGATTTAAAATGGACACAACGTCCCACACTTTGTTGGACCTACAGGTGTAAAATAAGTTTCTGGCGTTGTGACGTCGTTCTCTTGACATTATACAGTAAGTATTATTTTTTACATTTTACCACATAAAGACCAAACGTTGTGAAAAGAGCAAAAACATGTTGTGTCTTACACTTTTACTCAAACCACTGAATTGTGTTGGTGTTCACGTTTTCCACACGACTTATTTTCCCATGTTTACATATGTGAACACATTTATGATTTTAGGTATGATGCTCTTAAACTTTACATCTTTCACCTACAAAGTGTGCTCCAACGTTTGAAGGGGCCAAGAAATCGGTTTTATAAATGCCATGTTTGTACTTTGGTGTCCGTCGGTATCCTCATAGGAAACATCCATTAAAACACACGTTACATAATTTAACTCCTGTTAACTGTACTTGTGAGAGAAACTAATTAATGTTGTATTAGAATGACATCAACCTGTTGTATGGAAGTAAAGCTTTGTTCAAAACACAGAATATGGATTTGAAGTTTCAGATTGTTGGGCCCAGCTGTCAGCCGTTGTGCTACCTGATAATGAATCAGATTATGGGGATTATTAAAGGAGGGAAGGTCCACTGTATAAATCTCTTTGACTGCTGTTTTCCAGAAGATGAAGCGCTATCTGAAGCTCTAGTGATTTCTGCCGTTAGCGGATAACGTAGATTAGCTCATAGAAGTAAAGACAAGTCATTCTGTAAGAATGTGCGTTCTAGTTTTATTGTAGGATTCTTTGTGTTTATTGCTTGTGACACCGCAGGCCTGTTTGTTGGACCAGCTCTGCTGCTTGTCTTAACAAGTTCTTATGTCAAAAACCTCTCTGTTACAACCAGGGCCATGGGAACTGGGGGTGCTGAGAGTGCTACAGCACCCCCGTGTGAATGAAAAAAATTACAGCTACTTTCAAAAAAAGTTTATCTGAAGCTCTTCCTTCAACTCTAATGCAGCCCGAACCACAACGTGTCCCCCCCCCCACAAATTTTATATCAAAACGACGAGCTCGGCACCGTGATGTGTGCCGTTACTTTTATTGACATTTCCAGTTACCATGGCAACATCATTTGCAAACAAGACGCCATTTTTTTCATTGAAACAAACTATAAGTCTTCCATTTTGACAGATGTTAAGCTCAGATTTGGTGTGGTGGTAGCTGAGAGCGAACCCCAACACAAAGTCTTGTCAAATCAAAATTTAAACTGGCTGCCATGTGGCCGTCCCGTCAGTTTCTCCAGAAACTTCCAGTGCAAGTCAACAATCCTAATGTGTTCACGATAATTCCTTATTAATGGGAAATTAAGTTTCTGTTGGATCACGTGTTTGGGTCCGCCTGTCAATTCACGTTCCCATGGTCACAGTTATTTTTTGACAGATTCTGAACTCGTTTTCTTGTCTTAAGCTGCAATAAACGAACTCTGCAACACAAAAAAACATCTATTATTATTATTGTGTGTGTGTGTTTTAGCTAATTATCTCATGAGTCACTGGATGGAAACTGGGTTTAATCAAACGGGACGAAATCAATGAATATACCGGTATGTTTTTGAGCGATAGTGATTGACCTGATACAAGATGGCCACTAACCAACACTAAAGTATAAAAAAGATACAAGATGACCATTAAACAACACTAAAGTATAAAAAATATACAAGATGACCATTAACCAACACTAAAGTATAAAAAAGATACAAGATGACCATTAACCAACACTAAAGTATAAAAAAGATACAAGATGGCCATTAACCAACACTAAAGTATAAAAAGATACAAGATGACCATTAACCAACACTAAAGTATAAAAAAGATACAAAATGGCCATTAACCAACACTAAAGTATAAAAAGATACAAGATGGCCATTAACCAACACTAAAGTATAAAAAAATACAAGATGGCCATTAACCAACACTAAAGTATAAAAAAGATACAATATGACCATTAACAAACATTAAAGTATAAAAAGATACAATATGACCATTAACCAACACTAAAGTATAAAAAAGATACAAAATGGCCATGAACCAAGACTAAAGTATAAAAACATTCCTTTTTGAAATGTCAGGCCTTCATTTAAAAGTAGAAATGTCAGACTGGAAGAACTTATGTGTAATTTTCTTGTCACAGAGACAATTTTTGAACCAACGCATTCTTCTCATATTTAGCCCAAAGGTCAGGCACCAACCTCTGAGCTGCAAGATCATGTTGTTGTCTGTAGCATTTCATGTTACAGTTCAAGAACGAGTTCAAGCCGTGAGAAACTTAAAGGAAACATTACTGCACGTCTGCAATGACAAGACTTCCTGAACTCTCATATCCAAACACGACGGTTGACAGTGAGAAGAACGAGTTTTCTCTGCTGCGTGGTTTTACTCTAACTAAAGCAGTTTCACTCGTACAGGGGTGACTCAGCCGATCAGCTTTATGATTCAGAAAACAGAAAACATCAAGTCCTTATTTTCTTGACGTTCAGTTACACAGAACCGTCTTTGTGCTAGACCGCTCCCCAAAAACCATACAGTGATGTTGCCTGGATACAAAACACATATCTGGAGTTACTGCACCTACACTGAGCTTTCTCTTGTTTCCACATCAGTGACACCACACACATGTAGCTCAGGCTCCACGATGGAGACTGACAAATAAAAACAGCTGTCAGAGGCTTCACTGGAATAAAGTTATCTACCCTCTGGGGTTCTTCAACTCAGAACAGACTCAGTATGAAAGAAGTTGAAGCCAAATATGCTAAAGATGGTTCCAAAGAATGAATACCTTAAATGGTAAGGATGCACCATCCAGTCCGGTTCTTACAGGGTCTATACGAGATGATCTTACAGTGAGTTCATCTTAACATCATTCACAACTTTTAATAATGCGCTTTATGGGATATTGACAAAAGCCATACTGAAACTTTTCCAAGAGTGAGTTTTGGTTTAAATAAGTTAAGATCTGAGAGTGCACCACTTTCTCTAAAATGTTCATAATAAAGAGTCCTTTAGAGATCAGCTTGGAGTCGTTAAGATCGTTACAATCCAGGTGGAGTTTCTTCAATAACGGTTCAACAGCAGCAGTTTTAAACATTTTGGGAACGACCCCTGTAGATAATGATTTGTTAAAAACTGTTCTCATCAAAGCAGCCTGTAGGTTCCAGGTACAAACCTCATACGTACACTGAAGGTACAGAGTAACAAGTCATTTATACTGCAGCCTGGTGCCATGCAAGTATCCTCCTAAGTACCAGGCGCGTAACCTGCAAGTATAGAACTACTATAACTGCTTCATGTAAGTGCCTGGTCTCCGTAAGTACTCTGTAAGTGCACCAATAAGTACCTTCAGGTACCTTGGAACTATGTAGATGTCCGATGGGCACCGGGTAAGTAAAAAGTACATTATAGATAGATTTACGGATAGATGGATAGACTGATGGATAGATGGATTAAAAATTGCAAACAAGATGTTTTTTCCTGTTTGGAATGAGGTGGTCATATTAAAATGTGATGTCATTGAAACAGAAACACCCAGCATGCCTCAG